AGTCAGTGCTTATGTGTGTCTGCGTGTGTGTGTGTATGTGTGTGTGGAAACAATTCAATTTGATGATACATTCTCTCCTTGTCTGTCTGTCTATCTGTCCATCTGTCTGTCTGGATAAATTTCTTGATTCACTTTTGTTCCCACAGTGATGTTGCACCCAGTGCACGGCACACAGCACAGGTCACACAGAGCCATCTAGGGAATGAGATTGTCAGTACTCATCACCAAACAACCTGCCAAACGACTAAAATCAAAAGTGATCTGAAAGGATTGATACTGTGGACAGTTTGTCTTGCAAAAGACAGTTAGCGGATACACACACACACGAATGTGCCTGCACACACACATGCAGACTCAGAACAGAGGCACGTGATCTCTAACTCTCATTTTCTCTATCTCAAAATAACACACAAATAAATCCTCCTACAAACACTCACATCTAGGTGTACCACCTGTGCCCCTCCTTTCCCTTGCCGCTCCTCTCTAATCCACTTGAATGTAGCTGGATATTAGATTAGAAAGTTATAGATGTGATTATTCGTCCCTGGGCACAGCCATCTATTCGCTGATTAAAACATGAACTGGGGGCCATTATGTAACTGCTTAAAAAGATTAAACCTAGTCACCCCCGTGGGGCCCTCTCTCTGTTGTAACATGCAATAGAGATAGCGCAGGCGAAGGCACACATGACGGCATGTTAGTTATACCTCCACAGGTAGCGAGATAGAAGAGCAGAGGAGTGACAAAAGACTAATGCCAAGAGAAGTGAGCCTGATATTGTGAGCTTGTCGCGAGTGTAACTTTCCAAGGAACTGAGTGTCTCTTTCAATATCTTCAATTAGTGAGCTGGAAGCCAGAAAGTGAGAGGCTCCTATTTTATAGAAGGATTCTCACAAAAACACCACCCTCCCTCCCTTGTACATGTGAAAGTGTCACTTCTGGCTTGTTTTTCTGGATATATAGAACAGGTTCAATAGATCAACAATCTGAAACGAGACTTCATTGTGTTTTAGAAGCCAAAAAGTGTAGTGATGGGTTTTTTAGTGTATTGCTAGCAAGCCTGTAACTAATGTTCTCTTGCTGTTATGACAGAACGACGACCATGCTCCACCCAAACAAAGCTGGACTGGTTGAATGATTAACAGTCAATGTTATCAGATGCTGTTCAATGACTCGACAGACATACTGACCATTGAAGCTGTACCTCGGACATGAGCTAATCAACTAATGGATGTTGTAAGATTCTGCAGCCTTTTTGAAGCTAATAAGTGCTTGAATCAACACGCTGCACATCTGAACGCATTTAAGGGATTTATTTGACATTTTGAGAAATATACTTATTTTTTAGAATTAGATGAGAGGACTGAATAAGATGAACCTACAGCCCGCAGCTGGCTCACCTGGCTTTGTCCGAATGTTTCTATAGTTCACAAATGAACATGTTATATCTTGTTTGTTTAATCAGCACAGAAATGCAAAAACCACAAGTTATGGTTTTTGTGGGGACTGTCCTGTAGTCTCCAATGGTTGCCTGGCAACAGTGACAACAAGTGACTCCAGGGAGTCACTGCACCCAGCCAGACGTGAGAGTGATATTGAACTGCTCATATAACTCTCAGAAGGAAAGCGTTTAAGTATAGTCTGTAAAATATGGTACTATTCCTTTTTAAAACTATTCCTGTTACAACTGATTCTATACTTAAAATAAATGTATGGCATTAGTAATTAGGTTGCACACTGACATTATTATAACTCACTGAAAACTGTAGACTATTGATATAAAAACAGAACTAGAACCCCTTTTCACCAAATTAGGGCTGCATGTAGTAAAGTACCTTTCTTTCACCCTCTGCTCTGCATTATCAAGGTGGTGATATCCTGTAATATCTTCCCCTACGCTGTCTTCAGTATCCCCCTCTAATTATTGCTGGGTCTTTGATGCTTTGGGTTACAGGCACAGGCAACCGATGGGAAAATATGTTCAACTTTCTTCATACTGTATATCTATCTCTGTAATGATGACAAACATGAATAAAGTGATGCTGGATTGTCTTTGATGATCCTCACATTCAAAGAAAAGGGGAGATGGAGACAGTGTGACAAAGTCCTCTGGGAGCTTAGTTAAAAGCAGATCTTGTGGGCTCTGGGGCAGACAGGGTAGCACACCACAATCTTTATTCTTTCAGCTTAAGTGGAGGAGTTATTCAGTATGTACATCTCCCATTCACAGCAGTGGAAAAAGAACAAACAATCCAAACTGTGAAAAGTGAGGAGGAGTTACCAGGTTCACATTCAACATTTAAAATAACTGCTTTTCCAAGAATATGAGGTTGTATCCAAAGTGAACAGTTGGTCTGAAAGTGTGTTCAAAACCTGTTCAAATCATATTTCAACTGAGCAACAAGGTAAAAGATACGCATTCAATACGACACTATTCGATGTACAATATGTGTAGGCTACTTCTACTAATCCACTCTTAAGTGTTGATGCCAGCAGCTCTATGGAGTTGTACATATAGGCCCAGTGGTGCTTTGAGCTAAATTCTCAAATTCTCACCACTTACTTTAGCTTATTAGCATGCTAACATTTTGAAAATACGTACCAAACACAACGTACAGTTGAGACTGGTGGTTGATCATAAACTAAAGTATTGGACACCAGATGAAAAGTTAAGGGATCATCAGAGTCGGGATGGTTCACCCTCTGGGGATCATGAATGTCTGTACAAGCAAGTCTGTCAGTAGTTGTTGAGATATTTCACTCCCCCTTTTTTCTCTGGGTAATCCTTTGAACACACAGTCAACAGTTTTCATAGAGACTATATCTTGAAAGAGATCTGGTAGAAAGTAGCTCAAAGAAAACTCTTCAGGAAGAGGAGGCGAAGAGGAGGCATGTGCAAGTGTTGTACTTTTGGTTTGAGTTGAGCTTGTAGGAGCCTTCAGCAGTGAATTTATAACAATTTCTACTTTTTGAAAACAATTTGCCTGAACAGCCATGTAACATACTACTGAAATATCACATTGGCAGTGTATACAAAGTATATATGTTGGAACCGCATGGAACTGTGAAAATCCCATTGCGATTGACTGTTGCTAGTGTAAGTGCTGATCCATATCCAAGTGTGCCATATGTTTCTTGTGTTACTTATTGCTTTCCCATTCCCAATAAAGTGGCAGAATAAAAAGGCTTTTACAGGTCCCTGCGGGTAGCAGCTACTTCCAGTGGTAGTCACTGAGCTGTGGGGCTGCAGTGGTGACAAATGGCACCAAGCACATATTTTACTATTGCCATTTACAATGCATGATCTAGGCTGTGCTGCTCAAATGACTGTGCAGCAACACCGTTGAGAGTTATGTTAGCTGGAGGAGTGTGTGTATGTGTGTGCCGCTAACACACATACAAACATGATCATGAGCTTGTTTTTTAGTTTACTCATCAGTCAGCTTAAATTTTAATGTTTCTCATGAGCAGTCAGACATTTGAAGGTGGCGCTGGTTATATGTAGACATTTAAAAAAAAAAAAAGATGTAGCCTACTGTGTATCATATCTGTACTTTTGAAAAGATGACACGTACAAACAAAGATTTAGATTCATTGCCACCTGAGTGTGTTGACATAAATACATGGAAGTGTAGAGTCATAACGGTGAAACAAGCCTGTGGTCACCACATTTCAAGTGGCAATGGCTGCTGCATGATTTTTCATTTTGATGTAGACATCATCGTTGTTTGATGTAGCAGTCTATTACTTGGTCATGGTGGCAGTGAAAAACATCCTGTAAAATGAACAGTCTTTCATATTTGTTATTGTGATAAACGTACAATCGCTGTGTGGGTGACCTCCGTGAAATCCTTACATATGCACACAGTCACCAAGACAAAAAAAAAAAGAACAGTTATAAAATGATGCCATATTGTTTATATAAGCCTTTGCAGTTACCCGAAACTACGTCATTTTGGTTTAAGTGCTACTTTGTCTGCAAATAAACTGGGTGGACTCTGTTGTGGAGATCCGGTATGCCGTTCACAGTGCATCCTTGTGCAGGTTCAGCGGACGTGGCCGTCAGGGGGCAGACATCAGTTGGTGAGCTGACGGAGAAACGTGGCTCCCTGCTTTGCTCCACACCGGCAGCAATTAGAGGCGCACAGACTCGTACACGCGCAGGCAATAGACGGATAGAAATACAGAAACTAGGCAGATACAGTACAAGTCGCATACAAGTCATACAAAATACACTTAGAGATAAAAGAAAAAAAGAAATCCAGGAAAGTAGGAATAAAATATCTGTTTGTGTCTGTTTTAAATCTGTACCAAAAAGTATGACGAGATTATTTTGAGCCTTAGAGATGGTGTAAGGAGCGAGAGAGGGAGAGACAGCTCTTCATCCTAAACGTGTCAAGCGACAACAATATCCCAATTCAGACATGCCATTAAAATGCATTCAGGTGTTTATTTAAGTGAGATTTTATTTTCTTCCTGTTTTTCTCTCTCTCTCTGTGTGTCATTAAAGTAACGAAAGAGAAGCCAGAGGAAAGAGGGAGGCAGAGTGAAGGAGAGAGGGAGAAAGAGAGAGTCTAGTGTGGTAGCCAGAGGGCGGTGGCATTTCTCTCTCTCTGCGTAAACGGAGAGACTGGAGACGGAGAGAGCGCACGGAGTGAAAAGCAGAGCTTAGTGGCAAGGCAAGCAGTGCCGCCGACACGAGTCAAAGGACCCCGTGGTTATTTCCACCACCTCTCTCCTCTCGCAGCTCAACCTGCGCCTCTTCAGACGGACTTAAGACATCGGGACTAGAGCCTGTGTACACCTACCCACCTTTTGGTTTTGGACTCGTTTGATTAATCAGCAGATCCTGTGCTGGTGGAGGGGGGCGGGGGGGTTCTCATTTATCCCCCACCGTGGACCGAGGAGTTTTGCGTGTTTATGTGTTTTACGCGTTGCTGGTAATGGGGAAAAGTGGACAGAGAAGTGGAATAGGACACGGGGCTTGCAGCTTGGTGAGGATGTGCGCCACGCCGGGGATCCTGGTTCTCCTGGTGCTCGTACACCCAGGAGTCGGCCAAGGTAAGGCGGGAGAGCGCGTCTTCTCTCAGACCTTTTCTGAAACACCTTGATTGTTTGAAAGCGGCGGAGCTTCTCCTTCACCGCTGAGATGCGGTTGTGTGTCAGCAGCGGTATGTCAGGTAGCAGGCGGAGAGGCAGAAGTAGCTCCTGTCGAGGAGATACTAGGGTACTTTTTTTTTCTTGGAATATTTCCATTTAAATTGCGCTGGTGCTGATGATGGTTTACGGTCAGTGTCTTCAGGTGTAAACCGTGAATATCTGCGCATTTTTTTGCCCCTGCTTTAACTGTGCTGTACAAACTGAAAGGTAAAACTCGCAGCTTACGTTTCCCCGCGACAAACGACTTAAAGAGAATAATTCAATTATGAAAACTGGCTTGCGGTGAATTCAGTAAGGGTGAATAATATGTAAGGGAATGAGGTCTCCACTGGTTATTGAGAACCAAAATAAATACGAATGTGACTGTGAAAACTCCCGAGCAACACAGCGGGGACTTTTGGTCCATTCCAGAATCCGATAACCCAGTGGGTCTGTCGCCGGGACTGTTTCGTTTATAAACTGATAAATCAACACCGAGGCTGCAGTTGAATCAAGGTGAAAACTATAGGGAAGGATTTGGAGTCCACGATCAGGGTGACTGATGTCTGATCGCAGAGCACTTCGCTAAATAGAGGCGACGCTTCACTGCTCCGATTGGAAAATTGATCAGAAGTCACAAAGACTCTGAGCCGCCAGAAGCGCGTATAGGCGGTTACACGCATCTGACAACAACAGCAGGAGTCCGCAGGAGGAAATATGCTGCAAACATCCCGCTTGAACTTGAAAATAGAAAAGATCACCAGTATCATTATTCCTGTGATAGAGTCCAAAGAGAGCTTCGAGAACACACGAGTAGTCTGTATTAATACCACGCTGTTAGAATAATAAGGTGTTGTATATTCACACTGCACGCCCCAAGTGAAGCATAACAGGAATATTAAAGTGATATTTCTGAAGAGTGACGCGCAGACACACCACAGGCTGGTGTTAGTGGATGATATCGCAGGTCACAGACTCAATGAAGCCCAAATAAGCAGCAAGCAAATAACTTTCTACCATTAAGATATATGTTTTTTTACTTGGTAAGAGCTCTGAGAGATTCACAGTGTAATAAGCTGCTCCCTGGAAATGCTGAAGGGAAAAGACGGTCATACTTCTCCCTCTCACACTCTCAGTGACCTTCTCAGGGAGAGAACTTGTGCCTTGTTAATGTTCATCCAAAAAGCATTAATGGCCCAACCCTTCTGTTGTTTCACCAAGCTGATTAATTCACCACATTTTTCCTGTATGGCCTCAGTAACCTAAGCTTGACCTTATCATGGCACCTTATTGTGGATTTCATCCCTTATTAAGTATAATATTCTAATGTCCTATCAGGATTCAGTGTTACTTCAGCCTCCATTATATACGCTCCATTATACAACTAATATTCCACCCCAGAATGTAGTCAGTAAATTGGTATCAACTTCACTGACTGACCCAGGGATTTTTTTGTGCTGAATATAGCCAGTAATTGGACATAATGTTGCTGCCACCTTTCTCTCGTTGCCTTGGGGAACAGCATTTCAGCAACTCCCACCAATATTCATTATGACTGTTCTCTATTGGTTTACTGTTAAATCAATACATTGCAATTTAGGGACACGATTTGAGCAGGCTTTCGCCTAACTCTGATAAATCACACCTTGCCACCAACATGCAACTCAATTTGACTTGGGTAGAGAAATCTGATAATTGCAAAGCAAAACAGTTGATGAAATGATTATTATTATTTTTTTTTTTAAAGGTTTTTATTTCTCTGCCCCCCCCCCTTCACTGTCATGTTTGTGTCTGTTATTCTTCTTTTCCAAACAACTTGACTCATGTGTCTGAAGTTGTTTCTTTGTGTGTGAGGAGTCACTCCATTAGTTGTTCTATTGAATGGGTCAAAACACACAAACACATTGACCTAACTGTGGGGGGAGTGGGTTGCTTTGTGTACATAGCTGATCCTCTCTGTGCATCAGTGCTGGATTCAATTCCCAATCCACTCGGGCAGAGAACTTCCTTCACATTATGAACTCTGCGTTTCTATGTGCATTTTGTCTTTGAATGGGAACCACAAAGAGTTGTTTTAACCGCATTAATCTGCTGTTTAGTTCTGCTCATGCATGATTGAGCGTCTTGTTGCCTGCAGTTTAACTCCACTGTGGAATATGTGGTTTGGTTAAGTTTAACAGCGGAGTTTGTTCTTGAGATCATGACTAATGATGTTCAGGATGATGGTGTTTGTGGAAATGATGCGGTTGCTGCTGAGGATTCAAACCTAATAATGAAAAACGATGAGGACCCCCAAATATATAGATATTTTTTTAATCCATTTTGAGTACACTTATCCCACACAAATCCCCCCTTTTTTTCTTTTTTTTTAAGCTCCTTGTCATTAAATCTGGGCATGTAGACGTCTTCCTGCTCACTTTGCAGAGCTATAGAAACTGTGATACATTATGGAAGAGTCTCGCGCACAGACACACACTCGTGCACTCACTGACGTGCACATACAATGAGAGGTGAGTGTTAGTTGAGATCCTCTCATGCCAGCTTGAGTACATGTGTCAGCCTTCCAACTAAGCCCCACCCTCAAGCCTTTGGGCCTATTAAAAAGCCATTTGCTAAGCCCCCTTACATTTGATCTGGAATGAATGGGCGTTGAGATCGCTTCACAAAGTCAGAAAAGTCCCCTTGTTTATAATGATGACTAAGCTGCGGTGTAGCCAGGTTCTACAATTCAGCTGCTATAGGGTGTTAGTCTAAAACATTTGGTGTGTTCCTGCTTTATATGGCCCTGGGCTCTGGTTCCAGACGTTCGTATTTCTGTGGTATGTTGTGTTTGAGCTCTGAAACACACTATTCTGTAAATTTAACACACACTTCTATTCTACGATCTGTTTTAACTTTAAATATATATCTTGAGCTTCACAGCTGATTTAAAACATCACCTTTTGAAAGAAATATGTGGGTGTGTTGACGCTTGTGTGTCTGTGCAGGTATGTGTTGGTGTGTAGGTGTATATTTGTGAACCTGGTGGTGCAGAGGTGTAAAGATGTGCTCAGAGTGCTCGTGTGAGGTGTGTGTGTGTGTGTGTGTTCAAGAACTTGGCAGCTTTGGGATGTTCTCAGAGAACTCCTGTGGAGTGTGTGTGTGTGGGTGTGTGCTCACTAGCACGTCTATATGTGGGTGATGGGGTGATTTTGTACATGTGTGTGAACTTGGCATTATTACAGTGTTCCAGCAGAGCTCACATGGTGTTTTGTTGCATGTGTGTGTATGTGCATGCACACACTTGGCATTATGATATTGCCAGCGCTCCCATGCTGTCTCCCATTATGCTCTGATCCTGTCCCATGGTGCACTGCAGCCATCCAGGGTTCAGTGCTTGTAGGGGGACAGCTGGGAATTATTGCAAACTAAATAGGCCAACTTGATTGGCTGGGCTACTCCAACCAGGACAATCTGATTGGCCGAGAAGGTTTTATGTGGTAAATTTGATGCTGTTTCTGTATCAGAGTGAGAGAGCAAACGGATGAATGGATGAGGAAGGGAGAGATCTCTCTGGGTGGTTTGTACCAGCTTTGATCACTCCACTAGGACTTGACAAGCTGACTGACTGCCACACACACACACACACACACACACACACACACACACACACACACAGCAAGATATTTCTACGGTCAAACAATGCTGCATTCTGTCTGCATTCTCTGCGTGTGTGTATGTGAGCGTACTAATGTGTGCGTGCATGTGTATGCGCTTGGACAGGCGTTCACGGGTGTGTGTGAAAGGAAGTCTTTGAATGTGTCTGGGGTTGTTTTGTGTAGAAGACCCTCCTGCTGCTCGCGGCAGCATAGTGATGGCAGATCCCCCTTGCCCTCTCTGCCTTCTTTTTTTTTTTTTTTTTTTTTTTTTGTCCTTGCTTACTCATCCATACATTTCATAGACTCTTACTTGAAGTGCGACCAGTGATGAGACATTTTTCTACCCACCCTTTTCTATCATTTCTATCTCTATCGTTTCAATGTGTGTTCTATGTTAGCTGATGAATGGTTGTTGTGAGTTTTTTTTCTTCTTCCATTTGGCCTTGCAGGTTCATCTGTTCACACAATAGATTTTATGTTGGACTGTGAAAATGCTCGACCTTGTCTGTCCACCTACAGTGCATTTTATGTATGGTGTATTGCAACGCATAGCAATTACAGCTCAGATTATTGCAAGAATCAAGAGGCTGAACGTGGGCTGTTTGTATAGCGGCAGAGAACTTTGCAGGCATGTTTTTCTTTGAGGAAAGCAGAGATGAAATCCGCCTTTTGAGAAAGTGTGGTTTTCAAAAGGCTGTGTCGACTAACTGCGTCACACCACTTGCACCATTTACTATCTCTCACTCTCCGCAGGGGAAAACCCAGGATGGAACATAAGAATGTGTCCTTGTGTGCGAGTGTGTGTTTGTGCGTGTCCGACTGAGCCTGTTTGGGTGTGCATTCGTGGCTGTGAGCGTGCATGTTTACTAGAGAGACAGGCTGAGCAAAGAGAAAAGAGGAAAAAGAGAAAGGAGAAGCTAAATGTTCTGAAACTGATTCCCAGCGTCTCCTGCTGTTAGGCCTAATTCCTTCTAGAGTTTCATGTAAAGATCTGGAATTATGAATTTTTCATGGCCTGCGAAACCTAAGGCCTCATTTGGGGCTCTCATTTCCAGGCTTTTTGTTTTACTTAGTTGTGTGTGCTTGTCTGTGTGTGTGCGTGTGGGGTGGGCGTTCTGAGAGAAAGCCGTTTGTTCCCAATCAATGGCCTACTATATAGTTCCCACTGGTCCCATGCAGTCCTGCACTGCAAAAAATGATAAGCCTATTTTAGTGTTTTTATCACAGATTTAGATGAACATTTACTTCATTATCTTTAAAGTCGGATTACCATGTTGCACTGTA